TTTTGTTTTTTTTCAGAACCAGGGATTGAACTCAGCCCCTTCTGCTTGCTGGGGAAGCGCTTATTCTACTGAGCCATCTCCCCAGCCCCACTAGCAGGTTTTTATGCCATATTCGCCAATTGCTCCCCAAGATATCTATCTGTCTTAATTTATTGACACAATAATATGATATAAACAAAAAAAATTCTAGTTGCATTGACAAGGAAACAGTAAATTACTTGATTGTTTCAGATCACAACTAAAAACTAATTATGCATGACATTTAATAATGTATAGTAAACACAATAATTATACCCTATAACTGGATAAAATGCTGAAATGTATCTATAACTACTGAGTTCCACAAGCTCTGTAACACACAATTTCTCTTACAACAACATCAATGTTACTTGATGTTCCAGTAATGGGCACTTCTTTTTATGGTAGTGGGAATAAAAACTGAGAAAATGAAACAGTTATATCCTAATAGACCAAAAAAGAGATTTTTTTGATCTTTTTTTCTTTTTTTAAAGAGGAAGTCTATTCTGTTCATAAGATTCCTTCACCCTTGAGAGGAACTAACTATGGCTTGCAGCGCTGGACAAATTGAGGGTACAAGCACACATCTCGGATGTGGTATCTATTCAGGATCCAAGTCAGGAACCGCTCCAAGCCCAAACCATATCCTCCATGAAGACATGTACTGTATTTTCTCTGATATGTATACCAGTAGTAGGGAGTGGGGTCAATACCTTCCTTTTTATAACCTGCCAGAATTTTTTCATTATCCCAGATGCTCATGGAGCTGCCCACAAACTCATCAACACTGGACATTTCAATTAAATGTTTTCCTACTGTCAACAAAGTCTTTAGACCTGTTTTAAATGGTTTCTCATTGGTTCCATCTCCTGTAGCATCATTTCCCTCTTGATCTGACACATACATCTCCAACACCTTCTCTGCAGTCGCACCGGTCACTTCCAAGGGCATAGTCTGTAACACCACCATGCTGCCCCATCACTGCAACGTGTACTGGCCCAGAATTGTTTTTATTCATGCTTATATGTGGTAGACAATTTATAAACATTAGTATTAAAAGAATGAAAAAGGAAGGAAGGAAATTAAGAAGATTGGACCCAAGCAAAAAAGAGAAAGAAAGAAAGAAAGAAAGAAAGAAAGAAAGAAAGAAAGAAAGAAAGAAAGAAAGAGAAAGAAAGAAAAAGAAGAAACAAGAGGGAAGGAAGGAGGGAGGGAATAATAGAGGAGGAAAGATAGTTATTTTAAAACAAAGAGAAAATCCCAGATATCAATGAACATGGGATAATTTTAATTAAATGTTTCTCTCTTAATTAAATCTCTGTTGGTGGGATAAAGATATTACAGTTCCCAATTACAAGAGTATAAAATTCAGTATTTTCTCGCACTTCTTCTCTAGTTTTTGAAAATAACAATTGATAATAAAGAAAATTCCTCTGCTTCTGTGGCAAGCGGTGGGATTCCTGTCATTGTTCCATCCATCTTACCCGGCAGGCTTCTGCTTGCTCCTGTAGTGCTTTCATACTGTGTCCAAACACATCGAGATCTGCCAGGAAGGCCTCATGCTTCTTGAGAAGAGCCTGGGTTTATGGAGAAGAAGAGCATCAGAACAAATGCAGCAGGAATAACCAACACACCACGGGGAAGCTTCAACCACTATTATTTGAATTATGCTGATCGTCTTAAATGTGATAAAAGATGCTTTTCTCTATTTCAGAGGCTTCTTGTTTAATCTTATATTTGCAAGTTTCTCAAAGATGTAGTTAACAAAAATTCAAGATTTCAACATATCTGTTGAAGACTAGATTAGCTCAAATTGGTACATATTTCAATCAAATAAACATCATACCTAAAAGAGGGTGCTATCGGTAATGTCACTTTGTAGAATAAATATTAACATAATTTTAAATGCCCAATAATATTGCTTCTAATACCTAAGGCTTCTGAAATACTATACAGAGTATCTATAGGACAGTGAAAAGAATAAAGAAATAAAAATAAGAAATAGATATTAAAATACAACTATGTATTTAAAATGATATAAAATGATATAAAATAAAAGATATAAAATACAACTATGATATTTGATGTGCTTTTTGCCCCAAAATATAACTGATATTTCAAATAAAAATTAAAATGCCCATGTACTAAAACCACTTGTTTTCATAAAACCATGGATTATGAAAGTTCAAAGTAATTCTAAAAAGTTCAGAGTGAGACAAAGATATGCACGGATTTTTGCCTATAGCTTTGGGTTTAGATACTAGAGAAACAAGGGATTTTTGTGGATTGCAGAAGTGTAGTACATCATTAGGACTCCCTGTTAATTCTGAGGGTATTCCAGAAGATGAAAACCAGAGACGATCACTCGGTAATCTCTAACTAATCTAGCAGAGCATGCAACTGTCTCAAAATCCACACAAACTTTCAATCAATAATTTGGCAGCACTTGCTGATTATTCTGTGGAAAATTTCATCCTGCCCCAGCTCACCCCAGCTGCTTCTTCGTCAGCCCCATAGTTAGTGTTGTCCACAATCGGCTCCTTCTCTCTAATCCACGCTTCTGCTTCATGCAGGTCAGCCAGGTACTGCTGGAAAGCGACATTCGCCTCAAGAGCATCCTGCCGCCTGTTAGCTCGAGCACAGAGAGACTCCATGTTCTTGTTCAGACTCTGAACCCTCGAAGCTATATCATCTGCAGCAAAGTGTCCTACACAGTAGTTGAAAAACAGTGAGTCCTATTGAAATAATGTGACCAACTTGACCTTTTCTCTTCCCCGAATAGTTAAAAGAGGTGTGGTTCTACTAACAGCCATCATCCTGCCCTTCATTTCCCTTTACACCCCAAGTCTCCCTAGGATAGACTGGGTCAACTTGCCCCAGTGGCCTTCTGCCACCCCTAAGGTTACTTCTCAGCTGTTCTGAAAAATGTGAACTGGTGCCATTTTCCAGTTCCTGCCATTCCTGATATTGATGCCATCCATATAAGAGGTAGCTAGGCAAGAGATCAGAGAAGGATATGGGCTCATGGTAGTAAACCTCTAATCCCCAACTCCAATAAACTCTAACTGACATAGCAGCTCTCCTGGAGACTTCCTAAAAATGGAAGTAATCTGCTTTTAGCTATTCCATTTTACAGAGATAGGACAGCTGTTAAACTGCTGCTTGTCCTGACAGACCCCAACCTGCAGCCAGGACAGTTGTAGCCCTCTGTGTACCCTATACCCACTTCAGGAGCTATCTGCTCTGGCTGCAGCAGATAATTGTGTTTTTTCTACTGCTGTATATAAGCAGCACTATATATGCAGTACACCTATTGCATTTCTCAGGTTAGTCCAGCAGGGCTCTCTTTCTTACATTAAGCCCCTATGCTCTAGCACAGGCCTTGGTCATATAAATGCTTGCAACAATGGTTCTGTAAGTCTATGTAATTCATCACTTAAAAGCCCTTTAAATCTACTCAAAAGTCTTATCCTAAGTACCATTGGCAAAACAGTTCCTTTACAATTACTGGGCTGCTAGTCCTAAAGAGTTCTAGGAGCAGATAGCAAAGACTAGCAACCTCCAACAATGATCAGTGCAGATAAGCAGCAGGTACCAGCCATTGCTATGGGCTTGCACAACTAATTTGATCACAATGATCGGTAACAAACATGAGTGGATCAAATGGAAGCGGCTAAGAAGTGCTGTGGGTCACTGTGTAGGGTTAGCTTAGCTTTGGCTGCTATAGAGCTGACAGGAGTGGCTGAGGGCTCAGAGCTGTCACACTAAGGGTCAAGACTTATGGGCATTCTATGCCCCAGAGGGCTGAAGACCATTGCCACTCAGGACTCCAAGCTACTAGCACACCTACACTTTTCCAATTTGTGATTTCTATCCAATTTGAACAAAAGAGCCCTTTACTGACAGGCAATAAGAAGAGTATGACCCTCATGAATGCCCTGCAGGCTCTAATTCCTCTTGTAATCAGGGTAAAGAAAAGAGTCAGGGGAATGGTGTTACATTTAGCTAAAGTCACAATTTTCTTTTTTTCTCACAAAGAAAATGATTTTCATTGGTACGTTTTTGGTATACATAATGACCACATTCATTATAGGGATTGGAAAAGGTACATGATATAACAGGATTCTTTTCTATGTTCCTAGTCCTCTAGCCTCCATTCAACTCTTTTTTCCCACTTTATTTACAAAAGCTTTGCTTCTATGTTTTCCCTTCTTTTCTCTCTTTAATTTTGCTTCTACCATCCTTTCTTTTTCTCACCTCATTCTCTCATTCCTCTTCCTATTTGAAAATTTCTTTAACTTTCCTGGGAATTAGAATGTTCTACCTGAGGGGAAAAAAAACAGCAATAGGTGCTAAAGGGGGACAGATAGGTATATGTGATAGTTAGGAGGTTGGTGTAGTCTAAGTAATGCAGACCAGATAATGAAAGAATAGTGTGATTTATGCTCGAATGTGAAAAACATGTGCAAAACAGTAAAATCAATAGATTTCTGCTCTTTGGAGGCTTATTACTGGAATTGGTCTTCCATTCTAAACAACTAGATAAGAGGACACACTATAAAATATGATAGACTTTACAAGTGTAGGAGAAAGGAAAAAAATAAAATATGTACTGTAATGGTTATAGGTCATACCCTGGATAATTTTTGGATGTTGTACTACAAGTGCTAATGAAAAAAAAAAAAAAAAACCAAACAAACAAACAAGAAAAATCCTGCAGTTTTCCCAACTCAAACAATGAGTTCAGAAGACAAAGATCAGAGTTTGAGGAAGCCAAGAAAACTAGAATCTGGGAGGCAAAGTCCTGAAGCGAAGGATGCCACAGTGATGGAGCATCAGAAGAACACATGGAGGCCTGCTGAGGCATCTGACTTGTTACTCATGCCCACTCATGAACAAGAAAATGCTTAGAGGATGAGCAAACTCTGAAGGCAGTACTCAGAGGATTCCTAGGACTCCTCTTAAACTGAAAATAATTAAAATAACCACACAACAAAGTGGAAGGCTATAGTGATATGTAAAAAAGACATTTTAGAATCTCAGTATCTGATTATCTCTAACTTAGTCCTGAGATAAGCTCTGCCCTGGAAGAACCATAACTGAGAAGATTCAAGAAGATCAATGATTGTAAGTCCAAGAAATAAAGGTAACCACTTTCACTTATATTATGATAGAGGTGATGAACATAAGTGATAAAGAGAAAGCCTTAAGAATCAAGGGAAAAGAAGAGTCACATATAAAGGAACAATGATGATAATTATAGGGTGGGTGCTGGGGAAATAGCTCAGTAGAATAAGTGCTTGCCTGGCAAGCACAGCATCCTGAGTTCAATCCCTTGTACTTCAGAATAATAATACTAATAATTATTATCATTATTATTGTTAAAATTATTATAGTGGACTCATCAGAAATTTTAAGACAATGTAGCAGCAATTTTAAAATACTGAAATAAACTGTGGGCCAACAATTTCATATGTGGCAAAATATATTTCAAAGTGGAGGTATAATTGACTTTTACATCAACAAAGTATTAAAGAATGTATTATTATCTGATCTGAGCTACAAAGAATGTTAGAGTGAGCTCATCAAATGAAAGGAAAAATAAGACAAATGAAGATATTGATTTGTGCAAAAGAATTAAGAGCACTGGGGACCAGGGAGATAGCTCAGTAGAATAAGCGCTTCCATGGCAAGCACAAGGTCCTGAGTTCAATCCCCAGTACCACACACACACAAAAATAAATAAATAAATAAATAAATAAATAAATAAAAATTAAGAGCCCTGGATAAGGCAAATATATGGACAATTTCCTCATTTCTTAAGCCTTTTCAAGGTCAACAGACTAAAATAAAAAATAGTGAAAATGCATTATAGGAATCTATATCTATCTACCTACCTATATCTATATCTATCTATATGTATATCTAGATGGATGGATAGAGAGATAGATTCTTGCATGATAGCAATAGTAATTTATCATGGGATAAAAGGAGTAAAATAGAAACACATATTTATGAATCATAAAATGATATGATATTATTTTAAATTAGTTTGGCACAAATTACAGATCTCTATTTTTAGTCCTAGAGCAATAGCTCTCAATTTTTTGCCCTCAGAATCCCTGTGAAACTAAAATTTATTGAGAACCTCTACAAAGCTTTTTATCCCCTCATTGGATTTACTGAAAGCTACCCAAATAAGAAACAAGAATGAAGTCTGACAATGAATAATACACCAGTGCATACCTGCTAGACCTGGAAAATGGCATCACCAAGTATCTTTTATGCTTTGGAAACCAGTGTGTGTTAATATGAAGAGAACTGTGCCTTCACATTATTACAGTTATTTATTTGTATATTGTGCAAAATATACACAAAGTGTATATTTGTGTATACACTTTCTCTGAAAGTGTCTTGGAGAAACCAAGCTGAAACTGGAAAATCATCCCCACTAAAGCAAATACCTCCTTACCTTAAATGGAGCTGAACTAACAGATCGGCATGAAGGTCAAATAGATTCATTCTAAGTACAGATGCAGAGAAGAAACCGAAAGCATGCTTCAGATCATTTTTTTAAAGATGACTGGATAGAGTAATACATTAATACCTCAGCGCAGAAATAATTCTATTTGAAAAAATTCAATTCCGAAACAGAAGTATTTGGCAGAATTTCACTATTGTTCATGAACTCTGCATCAGTGAAGAACATGACCAATGCCATCTTCCCTGGAATTCTGTTATGAATCAAGTACACACACTGAGGTATCACTCAAAAGACCACAAAAAAGTAATGAAGAAACAGTTCAAATGTCTATATTAGAGGTCAACAAAGTACATTTCAGAACAGAAGCATGACATGGGATAAAGAAGAAAAGTTTACACTTTCAGGAGTATTTTAAATTCATCGACAAGACATAACAATTCTAATGGAATTTCAAGATAAATAAATTAAAAACATAAAGCTAAAAGAAAAATGGGCAAACTCCACTCTTCCAATCAGAGATATAAAGACACAAGATGACTCTCTAAGTAATATAAGAGAAAAAAAATATTGGTTTCTCTCAGATGGCATCTGAAATTTTTCTCATTAAAATATTTTTTTCCCTCAGTACTGCGGACAGAATCCAGGGCCTCTGCACCAAACTACATTCTTAGCCACTTAATATAATTTATTTTATTTTGAAGTTTCATCTGGTTTAGCAACCCAGGCAGTGGTTGAATTTGTAATGCTCCCACATCCACCTGACAGAGTGCTGGCATTATCATGTGCAGCCTCCTCAAACTGAATTTTTATACTTTTGAAAGCAGGACAGTGCCTGGAAGACACTGCTTTTTTCCTTCACCATGGGAAACGCTCAACACAATCTCCAATGCACTTGTACAACTGGACTGTGATGACCTTGAACAACTTATATAAGCAGCAGAGGTCTCCAAATATGAAAGAACAGTATAAGAGTCACTGAACTTATATAAAATGAGAAATACAAAGAAATCACATTGTTTACCAATAAGATAACTAGACATTGGGAACTTGAGTCTTCATAGAACTGAGAGCTTCTTCATGAAAGGCACTTGACTTGCTTTAGAAAGCTTCAGAACTTTGATTTTAAATTCCTTAACTTTGACACAAATGTGTATTCATGATTAGGGTAAAACCATTCTAATTATTTTCACTTTGTGAAAAATAAAGAGGACTGGCCTACAACATTTTGAGGTTCCTGTTACCAGAGTATACAAATAAAACAGTATATACTCCTGTTAAAAATGCTCAAAAGGAATTTCAGCATTGAGTGGGAAATGGATCTGTTAGTTTTTCTTTTATTTCATTTTTTGGAAAAATTTTAGCCAACTGTCCTTCATTCTAGGGACTGTTAATCTAGAATTTATAAAGAATTAAAACATATCAGGCCTCAAAAATTCAAGGACCCAATCAAAAAATGAGCATCTGAGATAAATACAGATTCTCAGATGAAGAAATACAGGTAGAAAACAAAAACATGAAAAAAATGTTCAACATCATTGATTATTTGAGAAATACAAATAAAAACAAGATTGAACTTCCATCTCACCCAAAAAAAGAATGGCTTTCAATAGGAACTCATCCAAAACAAACATTTGAGGAGTTGTGGGAATAAAGAAACCAATCTCCACTATTGGTGGGAGTGTAAACTGGTAAAACCACTATGGAATCAGTGTGGAGATTCTTTAAAAAACTGGGATTGGAGGTTCCATTCAACACAGCTACTCTTGTCATTGATATTTGTTATCGTTTGTGTCTAGGTGTCCCCCCAAAGCCTCATGCAGTCTTGGGGGGGCTTCTAGAGTTTGTGATTGATTACTGTGGGTGTGGATGCTGCACCTGCCCTGGGGCAGGTAATTTGCATTACAATGTAAGGTGGGAAAAGAAGCTAGCTGCTGGAGCTCCTGCTACCCCTCCCTTGTGCTCTTGCTTTTTGCCACCACCATGAAAGGTTGCTTTCTGCTCTGTGCTGCTCTGCATTGGACCCAGCTGAGTATGGACTGAAACCTCTAGTAACTGTGAGCTAAACAAAGCTTTCCTTCCTTCATTTTGAGTGTCGGGTATTTGTCCTAGCAATGAGAGAAGAGTAACTAAGACAATGTTTTTCCAGAAAAACCAAAAGCATCATACCACAGTGATGTATGTGAACCCATGTTATAGCAGTGCAATTTGTCAGAGCTAAAGCATGGAAGCAACCTAAATGCTCATCATCTGAGGAACGGATAAAAAGATGTGGTATTTTATATAATGGAGTACTGCTCAGCTATAAACACATGGATCTGTTATTTTTAAATTCTCTTCAAATCCTAAGACTGTAGAGAGTCCTTGGGTAGAGATGTTTGGGCAAATTGACCTGAATCATACATTACATACCTTTCTCTACCATCGTGTTTCCCCCTTCTGTTATCACTCGGATGTGTGGCTCATGGCTGGCAATGTCGGCCAGGATCACTTGGTGCCTGTTCAGAAGCTTCTTAGCTACAACCAAGTCCTTCCCTAGAGAGAAAGAATGTCAAGGTTTGGGATTGTGTTAAGGGGCAGAAGCAGATTATGAAAAGTGCTCCATCCATTGCCAAATGATAATGTTGATCAGTGAAAGTTACTCTTGTGAATTTCCTCAACCTTCTCTAATCCCCAATCCTTGCTCCCTGCCTTATTTTCCCTATCTCCAAACCATTCTTTTCCTCTGTTCCATCCAAAATCTCTTTCTTATACTTCCTTTCAAAATATTTCTCAAAAAACTGTTTTTCCAATAAAATATTGGGAATTTTTTTTGAAAAATTTCTATAGACAAACTCTTTGTTCTTATTTTCCAGTCCCAGACATATGTCCCCCATACATGGGTACAATATTGCACCATCTTTATCTGCACTTTTTACCAAGTACTTCAATATAAATGTCCTGGTGTTGACACTTGTAAACTAGTAGTTTCCAAAGAGTAACACAATCATATGCTATCTACCACTTCCTCCTTGTGATGACTCATATAACTATAAAAGAGGCCACAAAGAACTTAGATGAAAACACTTAGCATGAGGATGAAATGGGACTGCTCAGGTAAGAACTTTCACAATAACTTAAGTTTTAGGAAAAGCAGAAAATGCTAAGCCCCTAGATATTCCAAGAGATCAAATTTATGCCATTGCTCAAATGAAGGTTAAGACATGAATTGTTGACATGATTAAAGCTATAAAAAAGTCATGGAGGTTGGACAAATCTTCATGACATTGATAGGTATGAACTGAGAGCAAATTTCTGACACCCTTTACTGCTCAAGCCCACATTTCTCTAATATTTCTCTGTAGGCATTGATCTCCCATGGTTCAGCCTGCTCAGAGTGTACTAACCAAGGTGGGTGGAGGCTGCTGAGGGCTCAGTCTCTTGGATCCAGGCCTCCTCATCTTCCGAGTCTCTGCAGATCTGCTGCAGATGGAGGAGATCAATGAGCTTCTTCTTCCACGAAGCCAGTGGTTCTTTTAGAGCTTCAAACCTGGATGCCAAAGACTGCTGCCTTGCCCTCATCTTCCTAGAATCAGGGTGGCTTATTTCTTCAAAATGCTCAGCCATCTCTGTGAGGGTGTCCACTTGGTCCTGAAAGAAAAACAGAAAGTGTGTTTAGTAGGAAGAGCCTGGAATTGTGGGTGATGTGAGGTGATGACAGGAGTACTGTCAGTCCCTGCAATAGAGTGTCGAGGTAGCTAATTAACCAGCCAAATACAGCAGGTGAGGTTGTTATATCAAAGATCTCCTCATCAAGGTAAGAGCTATTCTATTTAAAACTATAGTTTTCAAATGACACACAGAAAGAGCTAAAGGTGACAGTGCTTAAGTTGTAGGTGTTGATAAACTATACAGCCAAGGAAAACAAGAGGAAGGCTTTTTCTTTCTTTCTTTCTTTTTTTTTTTTCTTTTTTGTTTTTTTGGCAGAACCGGGCATTGAACTCAGGCCCGTGTGCTTGCCAGGGAAGTGCTTATCCCACTGAGCCATCTACCCAGCCCTTATAATTTTTAAAGAGAGGAAAAGAAGGTTTTTAAAAAATTAGAAATAATACAGAATTTCACTAAACAAAATAATAGGAATTCAACGATGGTTGTGATATTACATAATGTTGCCTTCAAATTTGTTGTTTATATTAACAGACATAAGCATGCAAAATTGATCAAAATGTTATGAGAAATTAAAAAGGAGAAAAAAATTAAGTGTTAACTGCTTCTTTCAATAGAGCATCAGAAATCAGTGTTATCACTTGGACTAAGTGGGTAGTAGAGGCATAATAAAGAATAAATGAATAGTTTTAAGTAGATCATTTTGTCAACTTTAATACAGATGTTTGTATTGATTTTACAGACTTGTGAGAATAAGATAATGCTTTTTTGAAGACTCAAAAGCTTTTTAAATTATTATATTTCAAGTCAAGGTTATATAGGGCAATATCTACTTGAAGAATATTTGTCTGGAGCTCTGGGCTCTTAGGAGGTGTGTAGTGATGAGATCTTGGCCTTGATTTTCATCAGGACATTTTAGCATAGGAAAACAGTTGTTTTTGAACACTTAGTCCAAGTGCTTAAATACAAGATGACCCAACATTAACTTTAGAAAATAACAAGAATTGCAAAAACAGTTTTACCAAACACTCAATATAGGAATTGACTGGTTGAAATGACACCTGCTCAAGCGACCCTCCAGATAGTGAGCAGGGAAACAGTAGCACACGAACTGCCAAGCCGTGGCACACAAGAGTAAGCTGCTAAGTAGTTAGCAAAGCATCTACTGTGTTCCAGGCATTATTTGGCAGAGGTGATGCAATGGCTTAAGCCCTGGTTCTTCTGCTGTGTATCTTCTAAGCAACTCAAGCAGACAATGAAAGCAAACAAAGATTCACACAATGCTAAGTGCAATGCTGATGAATAAAAGAGCAAGGTCATTTGGAAAAGCAGCTGGACCATGGCAGGGCCTGCAAAGTGCAAGTGTGGATATCAGGATGGGACGCCTGTTCTGAGACCCGAATCATGAGGAACTAGGGATGAAAGAAAAGGATTTCAGGGAGAGGTAACTGCAAATTCACACAATTAATAAATAGTGAAGTGGAAAATTAAACTGTCTTCTGCCCTCTCCATGACAGCAAACATCCTCTTTTTTACTTGAAAATGGAAAACTGTGACCAATGGCATAAAAAAAAAAAAAACTTATAAGATCACATTAAGATTTATCTGAAATTTAAAAACGAACACTGTCGAAATTGTTCACATGATCTAAGCAAGAAGAAAAAAGCAATTTTAATCTACAAAACTCAGTGTAATAAAAAAACAGCATTTACATCCTCAATAAAGTGTGTATTTGATTTAAAAAGAAAAAAAAAGAAATCAGTGTTATCCAAGCTATCCTGTACATATACATAAGAAGATCATTTTCCCTCTTTGTTTTCTTCTTTTTCTCTCTTTTTGTATGAACTGTATTTGCAAATTCAAATGAAAACTTCTGAGGTTTAAGTTTACTGTGTAACAGGAACAAAGCCGACAAGATGAAATGTGCTAGAGAAACAAATATCTGAACCTCAGAGAGAAGTAATAGCATTTTCTTAGCCACAGTCCATCTGTCTCCATTCAGGCCCTTTCCAAAACAGGAGGTACTGTGGTAGGATTTTGACCTTCCTATGACTACAATTTCAGGGGTAGGCCTGTATATTAAAATAGATATGAGAGGAACTCCTTCTATACTAGTGAGGTCAGCCATATGTAATCTGGTGAAAATATAGTACAGCACTGTTGGTGGGAGCGTTGTTTGTTTTTGAAGAGGAGGGTATGGTGAATGAAGAAGTTCTTCAATGAAACAGAGGAAGGTCAGGTACTGGTTTTGCTTTTCTGTTTTGTCATCCAGTGTACAAACTATAAATAATTTGAGCTGTGTTTCCTCACTTTGGAACAAAATAAACTATCAGTGATTCTTAAACCATATACTCATTTGTCTACAGGAGTAAATGGTATGGAAAAATTAAAATTAAGATCTTGGACTAGCTCATTTTGTCATTTTTAAGGACCTGGACAACATTGTAATATAATAGAATTGTTTACAAACATCACTATGGATCCAGTGTACTCTTTGAAAATCCCCAATGTAGTGCAAAATGCCAGAGGACAGGGAGAGAGGATATTTGCCTTTTATTCTTGGCTCTAAACAATTGTCATTTGATCTGGAGAAAGATTGTTCACCTATTTTGTTCTAAGTTTACTCACTTATACAATACAGATTTCAGAATATAAGGTACTAAAGGCATTTGTAAGGGCCAGCCAAATAGCTCAGAGGATTAAATTGCCTGAAAGTAGGCTTAGGGGCCAAGGGTTCTATCTCTGGGCTTGTCATGCTGGCCCCGTTCCCGGGACAGGCAGAGATGACAATTGAGACTGGGCGTGGTGGTACTACCTGTAATCCCAGCTCTTGGGAAGCTAGAAACAGGCAGATCACTATGAGTTGGATCTAGTAATGAGACCCTGAATACCCTGTAGACCCTTTCCTAAAATACAAGATAAATAAATAAATAAATAAAGGCATTTTCTAACTTCAACAGTCTATATTTACAATTTACTTTGCAAGCAGCATTCCGTAGTCTCTGTGCTCTGTCAGAGAACCAATCCCTGGTGAGCAGCTGCTCTAACTTTCTTGGGGAGTGGGGGGCTGCACACATCTATTTCTTAAGTCTTAAAAAAGAAATACAGGCCGGCGGGACCAGTCCCAGCCCAGGAGCAGCGTGGGCCGGACCCTCTCCCAGCCCCTCGGGCGCCCCACACCACTCCGCAGTGCCTCCCCCACCCCGCCCGCCCAGTAGGATTTTCTGCCAACTTCCGGGAGCCCCCAGACCCAGTCCTAGCCCAGGTCCGGAGAGTGTGCAGAGAGTTTCCTCCTACCCTGCGCCAGTGGGACCAGTCCCAGCCCAGGCGCAGCGTGGGCTTGACCCTCTCCCACCCCCTTGGGCCGCCCCACACCACTCTGCCTTACCTCCCCACGCCTCCTGCCTAGTAGGAAATTCTGCCGACTTCCGGGAACCCCCAGACCCAGTCCTAGTCCAGGTCCGGTGAGTGTGTGGAGAGCTTCCTGCTACCCTGCACTGGTGGGACCAGTCCCAGCCCAGGAGG